TTCTGAACAAATTTGGTAAGATTGGTATTTTTTTTCTAAATGTTTGATAGAATTTACTAGTGAAGTATTTCAGCCTATGATTGCCTCCGGATATTTAAAATTGTGAATTCAGTGTTTTTTGTAGACATAGGTCAACTCAGATTTTCCATTTCTTCTTGTGTCAATTTTAATAATTAGTGTCTAAAGGAAAGTATTCATTTCGCCTAAGTTGTTGGGTTTATTGGTGTGAAGTTCATAATTCTCTTATGCTTTTAATGTTTGTCGGATTTGTACTGTTATCTTTTATTTATTCCTGGTAATGGTAATTTATGTTTGCTTTTTCTTTTCTTGATCTGTCTAGCTAGAGGTTTATCAGAGAACCTTTTAGTTTCATTGGCATTTCTCCATTGTCCATTCTTATCTATCTATCTATCTATTTATTTATTTATTTATTTATTTATTTATTTATTTATTTTTGCTCCTGACTTTCCAGTTATTTGGGGTCAATATGTTCTTTTTCTAGCATTTTAGGTTGGAACCATTAAAAAATTTTTTTTGTAAAAAATAAATTTTTATTGATTTCAGAGAGAGGAAGGGAGAGGGAGAGAGAGGTAGAAACATTAATGATGAGAGAGAATCATTGATTGGCTGTTTCCTGAATGCCGAGCCTGAAACCCAGGCATGTGCCCCAACCGGGAATCGGGAATCGAACCACAACCGCCTGGTTCATAGGTCAAGGCTCAACCACTGAGTCATGCCGTCCAGGCTGGAACCTTCTTTTTACTTTTCTAATACAAGCATTTAAAATGACACATTTTCCACTAAGCACTAAGCAGTATTTTTTAGCTGCATTCCACAAATTTTGATATGTTTAGTTTTCATTATCATTTAGCAAAAAATATTTTCTAATATTTATCCCTTCTGAATTTTGATTCATGGATTAAATAGAAGTGTATTTACCTTTATTCTATTTGGTATTTTTCCAAATATGTTACTGTTATTTCCATTACGGTCAGAGAATAATCTCTATGTGATTTTAATTCCTTTCGATTTTATCGTCCAGCATGTGGTAAGTCTTGGTAGATGTTCCATTTGTCCAGGAAAAAACATATAATCTGTACTATGTAGCATTCTTTGTCAGTATGGCCAAGTTGTCTGATACTGTTGTTCATGTTTTAGGGAAGAGGGGGTGGAATTCTAATGATAGTTTTCTCAGACTGATATTCCACAGATTTTGTGGGTACTTTCTTCTGATTGTTTTCTACTTTCTTTTTTTTTTCCTGTTTCAATTTGAGTAATTTCTGTTAACCTGTCATTAAATTCACTGATTCCTTCCTCTGCTACTTTGTGTCTACTGATGAGCCCATAGAAAGCATTTTTGTCTCTGTTATATGTTTTTTATGACTAATATTCTATTTACTCAAAATTCCTCTCTACTGAAATTCCTTATCTTTTCATGCATCTGTCTACTGCCTTTTCTGTTATAACCTTTAACATATTAGTTATGGTTATTTTAAGCGTCTTTGATAATTACAACATCAGTGTCACCTCAAACTGTTCTATTCGTTGCATTATCTTTTGACATTGATTTTTTACCCTTGCTTTTTCATATGTCTTATAATTTTTTTTATTAAATTCTAGACATTATGTGTAGGATTTAAACAACTTATGCAAACAGTATTTTTGCCTGAAATTAAAATATCTGTTCTGCTAGACTATTAATGTTGGTGATTGAACCAGTTTAGTCAGTAAAACAAGTTTGAATTTTGTAGTTGTTATGGTTACCTTCTGTTATGGACTGAATGTTGTGTTCCCTAAAATTCATATGTTAAAAAAACAACAACCCCCAATATGATTGTATTTGGAGATAGGGCTTTAACGGAGGTAATTAAGATTAATGAGGTCACCAGGGTGGGGGCATGATCCAGTGGGATTCTTGTTCTTATAAAAAGAGGCATGAGAGAGTGTTTTCTCTCTCACACTCTCACCCTCTTCCCTGCCCCCCTCCCACTCTTCCTCTACCTCATTGCCTTCTCCCCTACAATTCGAGAACAAAGTGAGAAGGCTACAATCCAGGATTACAGCTCTTACCAGGAGCCAAATTGGTTGGCACCTTGAACTGGGACTTTTAGCCTCTAGAACTGTGAGAAAGTAAATATTTGCTCTTTAAGCCATATGTCCATGGTATTTTGTTACGGAAGCCCGAGTAGACTAATACACTTTCAGTGCTCCGTGGGCTTGAAATTCCTCTGTTATCCTATACTAGAGGCCCGGTGCACCAATTTGTGCACCAGTGGGGTCCCTTGGCCTGGCCTGTAGGATTGGGCTGAAACCAGCTCTCTGACATCCCCCAAGAGGTCCCAGATTGTGAGGGGGCACAGGCCAGGTGCACGATCGGGGTCGGGAAGGGACCACAGGAGGGCTCCAGGGCATGTCTGGCCTGCCTCGCTCAGTCCTTACCCCAACAGCAAGCTAACCTATACCGGTTGGAGCATCTGCCCCCTGGTGGTCAGTGCACGTCATAGTGACCGGTCTTCCCCCTGGTGGTCAGTGCACATGATAGCAAGGGATTGAGTGGCCTTAGCATATCATTAGCATATTACGCTTTGATTGGTTGAACGGACGACTGGACACTTAGCATATTAGGCTTTTATTATTTAGGATAGTAAAAGGCTAATATGCAAATGGACCAAACGGCATATTACACTTTGATTGGTTGAATGGAACGACCAGTCGCTATGACATGCACTGACCACCAGTGGGCAGACGCTCAATGTAGGAGCTGCCCCCTGGTGGTCAGTGCACTCCCACAGGGGGAGCGCCGCTCAGCCAGAAGCCCTGAGGCAGGCTCACAGCCTCTCCCACCTCCACAGCAGTGCTAAGGATGTCCGACTGATGGCTTAGGCAGAGAGTGGGCCTAAGCTGTCAGTCGGACATCCCCTGAGGGCTCCTGGACTGTGGACTGTGAGGGTGCAGGCTGGGCTGAGGGGACCCCCCCCCAAGTGCATGAATTTTGTGCACCGGGCCTCTAGTAATCTTATGTTTAGAGAGGCTGATTTGCCAAAGGATTTTTTTCCCCCCAGTATTCCTGTTTAACTCTCTGCTTTAGATCTTTTTTACAATTTCTGTTTCTCTCCTGAACACAATTAGTGTTTCCCAATAGATGAAATACCTCATCTATTCAGCATTTATAGTCATTTTTTTCTATAACTTTTTTACATGTTTATAATCATTTTAACATCTTTGTTTGCTGATTAAAATTACTTAGTCATCTGTCAACTTCTGTGTTTGTCAGTTGACTTTGTTTTCTCTTGGTTATGCATCACGTTTTATTGATTTTTTTATTGGATTTATTCACATTTTATTTAAAGAACAGCAGGGAATTTTTTTCCCCACAAAGAGTATAAGTCCTTTCCTCTGATAAGGTAAGAGGCTGATAAGCCATATTCTTCCTAGAATTTAGTTAAGCTGATGCTGGGCTACAGTCTTAGATTTAGTATTTCTGTTATTGACTCAGTCTCGCCTCCCCCCCTCCTCCCCTTTTAAATCTTGATACTTTTTCAGGTGGGAGGGATTTGTCTGCAGTTTAAAATACTGTTGGTTTATTTTTGGATTCTGGAATTCATTCACAGGGCGAATGCCAGGGATTACCATATTCTCTTACATGGCTACTTTTTCTGAAAAATTAGATGGGGTATGTTGCAGAGTGAGTAGTGTGGGAGAATTGCTGGACCAAGCAATCCGTTAGAACTATTGTCTCTAATCCATCCTGCTACCACATTGTTGTGCACACTCAAGCTGATTTTTGCTTGCCTGTCAAAATGTGTTTAATGGCAGGTGCACCTGTATGTAGACTAGGTGCCTGTCCCAAGGAAGAGAAGCTGCCATGGTTCTCTCCTCATTTCTGAATGCTCCATGTTCGCCACCTTCTGGAATTGAGTTCATCAAGGTTTCTTTTTATCTTTCACTCTTCATTGGCTCATAGAAAATGTCTCTTAACCATGGGAGTGAAGGTCTTGTTCTACATATCCTAACCTTCAGAATTAGACTTTCTCTTCACTAATTTTTAGTTATTATTAGACTATTTCTTAAAGTCTCCAGGTCCTTTGACTGCTTACCAACCAATGTTATCCACATGGTTTATATTTACCTAGTCTATATCTAGGTATTAAAACAACTTAATTACTGCAATCTTAAATTGAGACTCTCTGCTTCTTTTGATTAATTTTTGCATTTTTATTATGATTAAAAATTCCTGACACTTGGCAACAGCAATAGAAACTAAGTGGCATACTTTATCAAAGTTTTAAATAGATTTATTTGGACTTGTTATTGTGTTCTAACTAACATGATTTCGTGAAAACTCAATATATGAAAATTTAAGATTTTAACATACTTTTGGGAATGAGTCTTCATGGTATAGGGACAGGGCCAGTGCTAGGACATGACTTTAGAAAAAGGCTCCTTCTTTGAGTGGGCTGATTACAAAAAGGTGCCCCTTCCTGCTTCTGACTTGGTGCCCCACTTTCCCGTTGGCTAGATGCCCTCATTCTATCTTTGCAACTGTACACAGTACATCTGAATCAAGAAAAAAAAATGTGCTTTCTTATAACAGATGAGAGAAACTTATAAGAAATTACAAAGTAGAAGATTCATATTGGTCCACCGTTAACATTTTTTTCTCTATAAAAGTGAGATCGATTTTTGCTACTGCTTTTAACTTGCTTCTTGTTTAACTATAAATTAACATCTCCCGGAAAGTCTGAAGGAGCTATAAAGGAATAGTTGTGGAGACAATAAAACCAAGCTATTTAGAATTTGTGTTCTGGTGCTTTGCATAGAACAAGCACTGAAACATGTTGGTTGAATGTTAAAATTTCTGAAATAAGTAAAAGGAAACCCTTAAATTTATGAAAGTCGTTTATCTCTAACTTCAGGAACAAATCTAAATCTATTCTAGGATGCAAGATACACTATTACTAAAGCATTAAAAAATATAGTATCTGATTTTTGTTCTATAGGTATCTTGCAACATCCAGATGGCACAGTTTTGAAACAGCTACAGCCACCTCCAAGGGGCCCAAGAGAGTTAGAATTCTATAATATGGTAAGTGAGGTAAGATTTGTTTGTTGTATTCATAGTGGTTTTCAGTTTTCTGGTGGTGACTTAGTAAGAAATATATTTGATAGCATGTCTTAGTGTAATGTGTGTGTGACTGTAACAAAAGCTTAATGAAATATAACGCTTACCTTTACTGATGCAGCTTAGTATTTTCTATTCCGATCCACTAAATTGATTTTTATTAATGGGTTGTGACCTACATTTTGAAAAACGCCTGAGAGACTGTTTATATTTCTCAGAAATGCTGAGTTTAAATGTTTTCACGATAGGATTTCTTAGCCTAGTGCTGATGTGCACTGTAAATCTCCAAAGCAGGGTGGTAAGGGACAGACTTAACATCTAATGAACCATATGACTAGGAGCACCACCTCTGTCTAGTTACAAAACATTTTCATCACCTAAAGAAAACCCTGTAACTCGGAAGGCATGATGCTTTGTTCCTCCCTCCTCCCAATCCCTGGCAACCACCAGTCTGTTTATACAATAGGTGACCTTTTGTGTCCAGTTTCTTTTTGGTCTCATATTTTTAAAGTGCGCCTATATTATAGTGTGCATTAGTACTTTGTTCCTTTTTATGGCTGAGTAATATTCCGTTACACTTACCACATTTTGTGCTTTTGGTGTCATTTATCCATTGATGTACCTTTGGGCTGTTTCTACGTTTTGGCCTTTGTAAGTAGAGCTCCTATGAACATTCATGTACAAATATATGTTTGAGTACCTGTTTCCAATTTTTTTTTGGTATATATCTAAGACTGGAATTGCTGGGTCATATGATAATTCTACATTTAGCTTTTTGAGGAACTGTCAAATGTTTAACAAAGTGGCTGCACCATTTGACATTTCCATAGCAATGTATGAGGGTTCTAATTTCTCTACATCCTCACCAGCACTTCTTAGTTTTCTTTCTTAAGGGCCATCCAAGTGAGTGTGATGTGTTGTTACCTCATTGTGGTATATTTTAATTGCATTTCCTTAATGGCTAATGATGTTGGTCATTTTTTCATGTGCTTACTGACCATGTCTAAATCCTCTCTGGAGTAATGTCTGTTTAGATCCTTTGTTCATTTCTTCATTGGGATGTCTTTTATTTAGTCACTAGAGGCCCCGATGTGCAAAATTCGTGCAAGGGGCTTGGCCCTTGCAGCCCCCGCTTCGACCGGAAGGTTGTTTGGCTGTCCAGTCTAATTAGCATATTATGCGTTTATTATTATAAATAGAAATTCTTTACATATTCTAGATACAAGTCCCTTGTCAGATATATGATTTACAAATATATTCTCCCATTCTTTGGGTTGTCTTTTCACTTTTTTCATAGTATTCTTCGAAGCTTAAAATTTTTAAATATTGAAATTCAGCGTATCTTTTTTCTTTTTTTTGTCTCGTGCTTTTGGTGTCATATCTAAAGTTACATTTTCTTCTAAATGCTATGATGTTAGCTCTTAAGTTTAGGTACAAGTAAAAAGATACAAGCTAAAGTTAAAAAACAAGTACTGTTATACATGCTTTACCATTATTAACTCATTTAAACCTCACAACTACCTATGAGATAAGTATTCTTAGCTTCATTTTATACATGTGTACATTAAGGCATGATTAGTTTAAATAATTTGATCATGATCATGCTAAAGTAAATGGTGGTCCCAGGATTTGAATGTAGGCAGTCTAAGCTCTAGGATATATGTTGTTAGCTGTTACATAATGTCTCTTTTTTGAAGAAAGTATTTTATATTTACTCTGTAAAAGTCTTGTACGTAATTTGTTGGATTTATTCTAGGTACCTTATTTTTTGTTTCAGTTGTAAACGGTAGTTCTTGAATTAAGTGTTCCAATGATTGCTAATATATAAGAATAAAATAGATATTTATCTAGTGTTCTTTGTCTAGTAATCTTGCTGAATTCTTTTTAACTCATATTTATCTGAGATTCCCTAACAATTTTAATTGTTTTCTATATAGATAATTATATATTTTGTGATTGGAAGTTTTGTTTGTCCTTTTTGAATCCATATACTTCTGTCAAGGACTTCCATTTCAGGGCTCAATAGAAGCAATGATGGGGGTATCTTCCTCTCATATAACAAAAGTGCTTTTAACATTTCCCTGTTAAAATATGTCTTCTTTCTAAAGTTTTGGTAGATACTTCTTCCTAGGTTAAGGAAATTGCCTTTTGTGAGAGTCAAGGTTCTGACAAGAGATAAATTATGTATTCTGTCAGTTTAATAAAGGGATTGTTTACCTAGGCGTGGTCAGAGTTAAGATAATGCTATACCATCCCTGGGCCTCTAAGGGTAAGGAGAGGGAGTGGTTACTGGAACCCAGGGAAGGTAACTTTATGAGAAGGTATGAACTGATAAGGAGGGAACTAGAGAAGTAAATAATCCAACCTCAACTGTCTCCCACTAGTAAGAGAATGACCAGAGGGCAAGGGATCCCACTGATGCAGTTGGTTCAGGTCAGCTTCTTGGGAAGAAAATTGTGGAGGTGGAAAGGGAAAATATATAGCATCCTTTCCATTTTTATTTCAGGAAACAATTTAAAGTATGATATGAATAGGTATTGAATATTTTTGAACTACCTTTTCTGTATCTATTGAAATTAGCATGAGTTTCCTCCTTTAATCTACTAATGTCATAAATGCCGTTATAGCTATCTAATACTATATCACCTTTCATTTTTTGAAATGAAACCTACTAGAATGTCTTTTTTATTTTTAATAATATGAATTACCGAATATTGTTTGCTAGTGTTTTATTTCAGATTTTTTCCAGCCATGCTCATAAATGAGATTGAATTATTATTTTCTTTAAATTTTATCTTTGGTTGATATCAAATTCTTTTAGCTTGATAAAATGAGTTGAGGAGCATTTCTTATTGTATTTTGTGGAAGAATTTTTCACATAAAAGATTTTGTTCCTTAAAGGCTTGATAGAACTTACCTATAAATTTATCAGAGCCTTTTGCCTATCTCGTTTCGTGTGTGTGTGTGTGTGTGTGTGTGTGTATCAGAGAAAAAGGGAGAGGGAGAGAGAAACATTAATAATGAGAGAGAGTCATCCATTGGCTACTTCCTGTACACCCCCTCCTGGGGATCGAGCCTGAAGTCCAGGCAAGTGCCCTGATTGGGAATCGTGGGAATCGAACTGTGACCTCCTGGTTCATAGGTCGATGCTCAATCACTGAGCCACACCTGCTGGGAATGCCTGTCTCTGTTTCTCTTTCTTCCTTTCTCCTTTCCATCCTTCTTCTTTTTTTAATACTCATCCGAGGATATCTTTTCCTGTTGATTTTTAGAGAGAGAGGGAAGGGAGGGGGAGAGAGAGAGAGAGAGAGAGAGAGAGAGATGTGAGAGACACATGTGCCTGTACGGGAGTGGGGGATTGAACCTGCAACCCCAGTATGTGCCCTTGACCAGGAATCGAACCAGCGTCCTCTTGGTGCATGGTTTGATGGTCATCCACTGAGCCAACACTGGCCAGGCATTTTCCATCCTTCTTTTTCCCTTTTATTCTTTTCTTTGTTCCTGGAAAGAGGCATTTAAAAAAAAAGTATTTTATTGATTTTTTACAGAGAGGAAGGGAGAGGGATAGAGAGTTAGAAACATCGATGAGAGAGGAACATCAAACAGCTGCCTCCTGTACACCCCCTAGTGGGGATGTGCCTGCAACCAAGGTACATGCCCCTGACCTGAATCGAACCTGGGACCCTTCAGCCCGCAGGCCGAGGCTCTATCCACTGAGCCAAACCAGTTAGGGCAAGGGGCATATTTTTAACCATAGTGGAGTTTTTCTCTGAGCTCTGTTTGGCTCTCAGTAAAGCAGACCCTTATCTCTTTCCCTCCTCTATGGAGAGGACAACGTGGATTAAGCTGAAAAATTACCTACTAAAAGTGAGAAAGGGATTAGACTACTGCTTGAGAACTGTGGAATTATTTTGAATGTTTTACAAATAGTTGCCTCATCAACAACAAAAAAAGTACTTAGAGAGTGTGTACACCACAACATACTTGTAAAAACACTTTGCATTGTGCTCATATTCCCTTAAATGTTCCCAAAGATGCTCAGCTACTAAGGAGAGGCAGAGACAGCTTGGCGAAAAAGATAAGGGTGAGGGGCGTGGGAGGCTGTGGAAGGAGAAAGCAGCCTTCCAGTTAAACATCAGCCCTCAGTTTAAAGGTCAGTTGTGCACATGCAGACCCCCGGATGTTTATTGGAGTTATGCTTAATCCCTGGATGCCCTGGCCTAGAGTACCATGTAAACATGTGTCCTCCCAAGATTACTCGCCCTACTGATTGTATCTAAAGATAAAAATTCCAATAAAGGCCTAACGAGGCTGGCAATAGAGGCGGCCTGGCTTTTCAGCTGGGGGTCTGCATAAGCACAGGCTTGTTTGGACAGGTCAAGGAATAATTAGGGGCACTGCCTTCGACACTCCCTTGTCTCCCCTAAGTCAGAATTCCACACACTTCCCTTTTATCAGCATGTCCTCCTTACAGACTTTCCAACCAAGTCTCATGCTCCCCAACATCTAGACATGTCTAATATTTTCTAGAATTATTACTGCTTATAAATCAACAAATTAAGTGAGCAATGATTAGAATTACGTTGAGGTAAAGGATATTTTTTAAAAAAAGGTAAAACCACAACTTCCTTACAGATATCAAATATGTACGTGTTAAAGATTTTGTTAAACTTATTATTTAATGAGGGAACTAGGCAGATGTTAAAACTGGTTCAAAAAAAAGTCAAAGAAGCACACATTTATATGAAATAAAGGGAAGTTGAGATGAATTTAGGATTGTTCACTAAACTCCCACCTTCCATGAAAGTTCTGAGAACCTTCCCTGGCCAGAATTTATTTGTAAGAATTATTTTGCATCTGCTAAGAGTTATCTACAGCTTATTTTGTTGTAAAATAGTTCAAGGACAGTGAAAGGCTAGAATTAGATAACCTAAACAATACATAATTTTTCATTGGAAACACAGTGTACTCTTTTTTTTTGCTTATTCAAAATTTTAGATATATTATGATAAACAGTATTATTTTATTTGAGAAAAGTGTAGGGCACTTGTAAAACAGTATAAGAAACTAATATGCAAGTTCTATTTCTCTCTTTCAGGTTTATGCTGCTGATTGTACTGATGGTGTTCTTTTAGAGCTACGAAAATATTTGCCAAAATATTACGGCATCTGGTCACCTCCCACTGCACCAAATGGTAAGTTTTTAGGTAAAAACTTTTATTCTTTTTTTAATTTTATTGATTTTTTACAGAGAGGAAGGGAGAGGGATAGAGAGTTAGAAACATCGATGAGAGAGAAACACCAATCAGCTGCCTCCCGCACACCCCCCCACTGGGGATGTGCTCGCAACCAAGGTACATGCCCTTGACCGGAATCGAACTTGGGACCTTTCAGTCCCCAGGCCGACGCTCTATCCACTAAGCCAAACCGATCAGGGCAAAACTTTTATTCTTAATTCAGGAGAGTAGTTTTATAAAAGGTTTATATAAAAGTGAGCCTAGTATTATAAAAACTGAATACATGTGTGATTTTTTTTCTAATAATTCTCTACTTCATTAAAGAAACTTATTAATACTTTTGCTCTTCATAACCAGTTTCTTAAATGGTATATACAAATTAATGATCAGTCTGTTATAATTGAATGAAAATATATATACTAGTACTTAATACTGTATTAATTTACAGATGTTTGCTTTTTTGTAATTTCTGGGCAATTTTTTTTTTCTCATTTTGAATAGGAAAAAACATCAGGAAATATATTTTCCTTGCATAACTTCCTCCCTGTCTCATATCCCTGTCTCATCCCACACTTCAGGGCTTTAAATTGCAATATTTAAAAAAATACCAGTAAGTTTTATAGAGGACAAACTGATCTATGTAAGGGCACAACATTTCTCTCTCTTAATATTAGTTAATACTTGAAGCAGTATTTGCCACTTCTGGGCCTTTGAGCAGACAGAATTTAATTAAACAAGCAGCTTGGCCAGAACCGGTTTGGCTCAATGGATAGAGCGTCGGCCTGCGGACTGAGGGGTCCCGGGTTCGATTCCGGTCAAGGGCATGTACCTGGGTTGCGGACACATCTCCAGTGGGGGATGTGCAGGAGGCAGCTGATCGATGTTTCTCTCTCATCGATGTTTCTGACTCTCTGTCTCTCTCCCTTCCTCTCTGTGAAAAATCAATAAAATATATTTGAAAAAACAAAAAAAAAACAACAAAAAAAACAAGCAGCTTGACTGTGTAACTATTGAAGAAGGTTGGTGAATGGGGTAAGAGTTTGAAACTTGACTGAGTTTAAGAATAACCATGGGCTTATTAAAATGCATATTAATAGGCTAAACGCCCAGACATTTTGATTATGAAGGTTTATGTTGGAGTTCAGTGATATGCTTGTTAAAAGCGACAAGCTTGCCCTGGCTGGTTTGGCTCAGTGGATAGAGTGTCGGCCTGTGGACTGAAGGGTCCCAGGTTCGATTCCGGTCAAGGGCACATGCCCTGGTTGCGGGCTTGATCCCCAATGGGGGGCGTGCAGGAGGCAGCCGATCAATGATTCTCTCTCATCATTGATGTTTCTATCTCTCTCTCTCTCCCTCTCCCTTCCTCTCTGAAACCAATAAAAAAAAATGTGTATTTTTTAAAAGCGACAAGCTTTTTTAATGTAGATAGTACTTAGACTACATTTTGAGAACAGGAAAGAAGGGGGCTCCAGCTTGAGCTTATTCTTTTCCTTAGTTCTTTGTCTTCCTTTGACTTATGGACTGTGTATCAAGTTTCATCAATAGGGAATCATAGTATTCTCCTGTGAGTATCCTTAGTTAGGTAATACTAAATCAGCGGTTCCCCTGGGTATTTAGTATTTGCCTATATTTCAGTTGTGTGGGAGTGGGGAAAAGTGAGCCTAGGCTCTTTTCCCTCTCCTCCCTTTTTGTCCCCCCCTTCCTTCCTTCCTTGTCTATTAGTCCCAAATGTATATGTTTCTGATTCAGATCAGCATGTTGCTTAAATTATTATTTCACAAGTCATTGTGATTATAGAGATTTCCATTGTAATGTAAGATACCTAGATTTCAATGAATTTTGCTACTGATTAATGTTTAACTTAGAACATTATTTAATCACTAGTGGCCTGGTGCACAAAATTCATGCACATTAAAAGGGAATTAATTAGAGGAAATATTTTAATATTGCTCTTTGCCTTTTCTCTATAATAGAAGTGTCAGAGATGAAAGAAAATTAGTAAAATGTATATGAAATATCTCCCTCCTGTCAGAGCCTGGGGCGTGCCGCGAGACCCAGAGTCAAGTCCCCGTCCACCAGCGCGTGCCTCAAAATCACGTGAGACCCAGACCCGGCCGGCCCCACCCCCTTCAAGCCCCACAGGGCGGGGGGCACGGCCTCAGGTCCCCTGGCTGGAGGGTGTGATGACCATTTGCATATTAGTTCTTTATTATATAGGATTATTCCTCAAGAATGTGACTTCTAAAGGTTGTTGAGGATGGTGTTAAATTGGATATCTAGATACTGTGATTGAGTACTCAGTTTAAAAGATTCTTTAGAAGGGGTTTTATTGTCTCCACAACTATTTCCTTTATAGTCCTCAGACTTTCTAATAAATACGTGTAAATATTTATAGAAATTCTTCGGTAATCCATGAGAGAGAAACATCTGTTGGCTGCCTCCTGCACGCCCCCTACTGGGGATTGAGCACAAAATCTGGGCATGTGCCCTGAAGGGACGACACTCAACTAACCAATTGAGCCACACTGGCCAGGGCTCTCATTGTGCCTTTTTAATGTCCTTGGAAACCTTACATCTAGTACTTCATACCTTTTACTAATGGTTGAATATTATTTAATCACCCTCCTGCAAGTGTTTCTCTGTGATATTTATACTAATTGTTGACTCTGGAGTTGTTTTAACTTTTTTTCTCAGTTTTAAGTTTTCCTCATTTTGTTTCTCCTGGAAGTTATTTGAGTGGTAATATGTTTGCTTATCACTAATTAAAGTTTTTCTTTCATAACAGATTTATACCTAAAACTGGAAGATGTGACCCATAAATTTAATAAGCCCTGTATAATGGATGTAAAGATAGGGCGAAAAAGCTATGATCCTTTTGCCTCATCTGAGAAGATTCAGCAACAGGTCAGCAAGTACCCATTAATGGAAGAGATTGGGTTCTTGGTGCTTGGCATGAGGGTAAGAGTGATTATTAGTATAATACACATATTTTTCTTTACATGTTCTTTTCTTGAAAATTATAGATGTCATCATAATACTAATATATAAGATGATATATTTTGAAATTTGGTTGTCTGCAACTCCCCAATGTGAGCAGATATTTTTATTTTTTGTTCACTGATATATGGTCAGTGTCTGGAATGATTATGACACATAGTATGTGATTAATAAATAAATGGATGAACCTCAAGAGTCCAACTCTGGTAATTTTGTTTTAAAGAGGCTTTAAGTTTAGCTGTAATATAAATGACGTGGTAAGTTAATGTTATATTGTTTATGATTTTGCCATGAGGAAAGTACTATGTTTATATATTCAGTAATTTTTCTCTATTTTTTAAATGGAAAAGGGAAACTAAAATCAGGTCACTGTGGTTTAAAAACAGTTGTTTTGATTTGCTCATGATTCTGTGGGTTGGCAATTTGAGCTGGCCTCAAGTAGACAGTTCTACTGATCTCACCCAGGGTCCCTTGTGTGGCCGCACTCATCTGATGGTTCTGCTGGGGCTAGGTGGTCTACAATGACCTCACTTATGTGGTGGAGCTTATTCTAACTTTCGGATGGGCCTTTTTCCATGTGGTTTCTTGTGGTAAATGTTTCCCTCCACGTCCCGCGTGGTTCAGGGTTCAGGATCTGGAAGAGGAGCCGCACACAAATGAAAGAGAAGAGACAAGAGATACTTTGGAAATATTGGGGGGCCAGGCGGGTAAGTCCAACTCAAGAGGAAGGACTTCCATTGATGCTCAGGCCGCACCAACCTTGTATTGGTTTGGGATCCACCCATAGTATAGCCCTTAGGCAGGCAAGTTCCAGTAACACACAGACTATCTTATCAATAAGGATTTACATGAGTAAAGGTGGGGAGGTTGCTTCAGCTACCATTATCTGGATTAACAGAGGTGGTGCACAGCTCTGACCTTTGCTAGGGCTTCAAAGGTCACCAGCCTTCTGGGTTCTCTGTCTACACCTCTCTGCTAGTGAAGACAATAAGTGGTTTCCCACAGTTTCTCATCCTCCAGGAGGCTAGTTGGAGCTTCTTCATGTGCCACAATCCTAAAAGGCAAGAGTGGGAGCTACAAGGGCTCTGGAAATAGAGGTTAGAAGTGTGAAGTTTAAGTTTGATAAATGATTGATTGCTACCTATATAAACATAATGGCGTAGTTTTGAAATTCATCATAAAAGATGATATATGGATCTTTTGAGTTTTAAATAGGAGAGTTAATAAATAGGAAGCATTATAGATGGATTGTTAATGTGATAATTATAACAGCACAGTTGAATTTGGTATTCTGATCAAAGGAATTGTTGATGCAGTTGTTTCATTTAGAAAACGATAATTAAATGTGGGTATGTTATGCCCAAATTTCAGGATCCCCAAAGGACCACCAGGGAGCCAGCCGAGTCCGATGCAAAAGCAGAAGAGTCTTTATTCGAGCTAGCTCGAGCTCCCCGTCCACCACACTCGCCGACGCAGAGGCAGGAGGCAAAGAGAGAGAGAGAGAGAGCTCTGTGGGGAGAGGGGTTTTATAGGGGGGTTGGAGTAAGGGGAAGAGAGAGGACTGTGGGCCCTGCCGATTGGCCAGGCGCAAGTCGGTGTCTTGTTACACAGGATGTGGTCGTGTCTATGGCGCGCACTTCCCTTGATTATCATTGGTTAGTTTAAAGAAATCCTAGGTGTGGCTAGCAGAGGCTTGGGCTTCTGGGAAGAAGCTCCTTGCTGAGCACATGGCTAATGGCTGCTGCCCAAAAATGGAGGATCCGGGGCAAGATGGAGGGCGTAGCCCTCGCCCTTTCAGGTATACATGAAAAGGAAAAAGGATTAATGGCATAATGTTAAAACAAACAAGAAATAAACATCCCACAGGAGCAACTATTTAAACATCCGCTGTTTTCAAATTTTACCCTCCCACTTTCCTTTTCACTTTTTTCAGAGGACCTTGCCTTCTGTTTCAGAAAAAAATTAAAGCCATTAGATAGGATTTCCTTTACTTTCCTGCCAACAGATGTGCATACCTAACCTACAAGTGCTTTCATTTCCCCTTTATTTCTTTCTCTCACATTGATGAATTTTCTGTCCTAAGGACAGCCCTTCACTATGCCCTCTGGATCTAATTCCCTCCCACCTCTTTAGGAATCTAATACTATTGATTCTTTCTTGTCTTATATCTTCAACTTCTGTCTCTTTCCTGACACTCTTCCTTTTGTTTTATATATGTTCAGATCACTCTCAATTTTTAAAAAACAACATCATCAAAACCTACCTTTACCTTGCTCTGCTGTCCACCAGTGGGTTTAACTTGCCTCCCCTTCACAATCAAAATAGTTATTTCCATTGCCTTACTTCCCACTTAGTATTTTTCAGCCTCCAATCTGGCATTTGCTCTACCGTGCCACCAGATCAGCTTTCACTAAGGTCCCTAATGACATCTTCATGTCACTAAATCTAAATGCCATTTTCATTACTAACCTTACTGCACTTTGAAAAGCAGCCTTCAAGGCTGACTACGTTTTCCTGGAAACATTCCTTTTTGTGTCCTTGATATTACACCCTGTCCTGGTGTTTTCAAAGGCTACTTTGCAGTTTTCTTTGCCAGCTAATTTTTCCCCCCTGTTTATTCTTTAGGTGTTGAGGCATTCCACTCTGTTCCATTTTACTGTCTTTATTTTCTGTTTCTTCCTAAGCAGTGTCCTTTGTTCTTATTGGATCAGTTTCACTTACACTGATACTCCCAAAGGCATATCTGTAGCCTCAGCTTTTTCTTTGATCTCCTAATATGGATAGCTAGAACCTTACCAGACATTTTACTAGGATGACTTAAAAACATCTAGAACTAATATATAAAAAAGCACTACACTCATCTCGCAACCAACCACAAGAAATCTCAACAAATACTGAGATTATTCCTTACCTCATAAATGGCAGCACTAGTTTTACACATGCTAGTTTTACACACTGGAAACCTAGTAGTCACCATTACCTCTCAGAGCCATTCGTCAATCCTATTGATCTTAATTCCCCAGCATCTCAAATCCCATTATCACCATTATCCTTTTACAGAACCTAGTCTCTTAACTGATCTCTCAAGTTCAGTTTTTCTTTCTTTCAATTTGTTTTCCAGACATTGTAAAACAATCATGGCATTCTCCTACTAAAAACTCTTCAGTGGGATTCCATTGCTTTAGGGTACATATACACGATAAGTAAAAAAGGCATTGCATGATTTGGCCCTCCTGGGATATGTCATTTTCTATATGAACTTTAGATTGGCTTATATGGTTATAAAAATTGTTGGTGTTTTACTATTATTTCATTTTAGTTGTGGATTAATTTAAGTAGAATTGATATCTTTAAATTTTTTTATTTTTTTATTGAATTTATTGGGGTAACATCTATATATATAAAAGCCTAAGCGACCGATACGACTGAGTGGCTGGAACAACCAGTTGCTATGACGTGCACTGACCACCAGAGGGCAGACACTCAACGCAGGAGCTGTCCCCTGGTGGTCAGTGTGCTTCCACAGCAAACCTCCCTGGCTGGCCAACCTCCCACAGTCCCTCCCCCCGGGCCCCGGGCTTAAACGGGGAACTGGGGTGGGTGGTGGTGGTGGGGCTGGTGGTCAACCTCCCACAGCCGGCAGGCCCCAGTGATGGTGCAGCAGTGAGAGAAGGAGGAGGGGGAGAGGCGGGGAACCACACAGTGGCGGGGCGCCAAAAGCAGTGTTGGCGTCCGGTGTCCATTCCTCCCACACCTGTCACCTCCTCTCCCAACCCCGCCAGGGCCTTCAGGCCCCAATCGGCCTGGCCCTGATCAGCCTGGCCCCAATCGGCCCTGATTGCTAGCCAGGCCTAGGGACCCCACCTGTACATGAGTTTTGTGCACCGGGCCTCTAGTTGGTTAACAAAATTATAGGTTTCGGATGTACAGTTCTATAATATATCATCTGTATATTGTATTGTGTGTTCCCCAAGTCAAGTCTCCTTCCATTACTATTTATACCTCTCCCACCTTCCCTCACTGTCCTTTCTTCTGATAATTACCGTGCTGTTGTCTGTGTCTGAGGGTTTTGGGGTTTTTTTTTGCTTTATCCTTTCACCTTTATCACTCAGCCCCACAACCCACCTCCCCTCTGATAGCTGTTCTGTTTTCTATGAGTCTGTTTTTATTTTGTTGTTTATTTTGTTCATTAGATTCCACATATGAGTGAAATCATATGGTATTTGTCTTTCTCTGACTGACTTATTTCACTTAGCATAATGCTCTCCAGGTCAATCCATGATGTCACAAGGGTAAGATTTCCTTCCTTTTTTATGGCTGAGTAGTATTTTATTGTGTAAATGTACCACAGCTTTTTTATTCTCTCATCCATTGATGGCCACTTGGCCTGCTTCCAAATCTTAGCTATTATAAGTAATGCTACAGTGAACATAGGGGTACAAGAATTGATATCTTTTATATTGAGTCTCCCTCTCTGAGACCATGGGTATGTGTTTGTGTGTATGTCTTAGGAATTTGTTAAAAATGTCTTTATATAGATTGTACCTTTATTTAGTTTATTTCTCTTATGTTGCATTTGTAAATGGAGTATTCCATTATGTTTCTAACCAGTTATTTGTGTATATCAAAGCTCATTTCCTGCTTACTAATTTGTACTCAGTCACCATTTCAAGTTTTAATTAGTTTTTCAGTTGATTTTTCAGTATATGTCCATTACCTATAAAGAGTAATATTTTATCTCTTCCTTCCCAAATTATTATTCCTCTAATTTCTTTCTCTTGTCTTATTTGCATTTGCTAGAGGCTATAGAACATTAGATAGTAGTGATGCAAAAAGACATTGTAGTAGAACACATTTTTTGGAAGCTTCTTATATTTTAGGACAGGTGCTTTTTTTTTTTTTATTTCCACTTTCAACTTAAGTTGACACTGACCTTTGGTGGATTGAGGTAGATAATTTTTCGTATTGGAAATATTCATCTATCTGTTTAAAGAGTTTTCATCGATAGTGGGTGTAAATTTATTAAATGCCTTTTTAGAATCTATTGATATGACGACGTGATTTTTTCCCCCTTCAATTCATTAGGATGACTCATATGAATAGATCTTTCCACCTTTAGCCACTGCTGTGATAAATTCCACTCTGCTTTTTCTGACAGGTTTATCATGTTCATTCTGATAGCTATGAGACACAAAACCAGCACTATGGAAGAAGCTTAACAAAAGAAACTCTAAAGGAAGGTAAGGATTGGACAACCAGATTTCATTGCTTTTATTACTGCATAAATATCAAAATAATTCTAAAGTGATTTCAATTTTCTCTTGGAATAATGATTCAATTCACAATAAACTTTTTTAAAAATGAAATTTACATTCACACGTAATCTCTGGTTCATCATATACCAAAACCTTAGGTGTATCTTACCTATTTATTTATTTATTTATTTATTTATTTATTTATTTGCTTACTTGCTATACTTAAATAAAAATGAACATCTGTGAACCAACCATCTAGTCCAAGTACTGGAACTAGAGGTTGTCTTTAAATTCATAGTATATAGTCCTGGCTGGTGTGACTCAGCATCAGTTGGTTAAGCATCATCCCATGTTGATGGTTCGATTCCTAGTCAGGACACATGTCCAGGTTTGGTCTCTGGTTGATTAGGGTGTGTGAGGGAGGCAACCAATCGATGTTTCTCTCTCACATCAATGTTTCTCTCCTTCTCCCCTTCTCCCTTCCTCTCTCTGAAATCAATAAAAACACATTTAAAAATCGTAGTATATAGATCTTAGTATGTTAAAACTGCTTGTTACATAAGAGACTTTAAAGTGTGTGTTGTAGCATGTCATTTTCTATTTAAATTTCTCTTTTATAGTTGAGCTGTGTATATTCTAGACCTACATTATGAATGAACAAGTGGCATGAAGAGTAGTTTAAAGTCTGTTAATATATATACTTGTAAAATATTTATGGACAAAATAAAAACAATGATAGCCTAAATTTCTGGAAGTAATAGTCTATTGGAAGTTTATTCTTAGCTCTGCCTAAGGTGGGAAACAGGTTATGTGTAATATAAAGAGTTTGAAGAAGAATTTTTATTTTATGTGTAAAAAACAGGCATCCATCATGTGATCGTAACAATTAGTATTTGCCTCAGCCAATAGCAAGATAATATGCAGATTGGCTCTTTTTTAAAAAAATTAAATATATTTTTATTGATTTCAGAAAGGAAGGGAGAGAGAGAGATAGAAATATCAATGATGAGAGAGAATCATTGATTGGCTGCTTCCTGCACACCCTCCACTGGGGATCGAGCCTGCAACCCAGGCTTGTGCCAGGAATCAAACCGTGACCTCCTGGTTCATAGGTCGACACTTAGCCACTTGTGCCCCTGCGGCTGGGCATGCAGATTGGTTCTTTATTAAAATATTTCCCAAGCTAATGTGAATATATTTTTTTTAGCAATTTCTGTCTCAGAGTAGGGGAACAACTATTTAAAGGCAAAAATAAAATTGTACATACCCATAAATTTCCAAATATGGTAAAGTAGGCATAAATAATTTTAAGAGGCATAGATAATCTCATAGGTCAAAGCATTTAAAAGTCTTAATTTGGATAATATACTCAAACTGGAATAGTGCTGATCCCTAATGTTTATCTTGTGGAAAGACTGATTTAATTAATATTATTGAGAACAAAAAATTTAGTGCTTGTTATGACTTGGTATTTTGGTAATAGGCTGTTGACACCATTAAAAATGGTTATGATTTGACTCTAGGTTTTAGATGAGCTCTTACATGTGGTTCTGATAAACAAGTAATCTTTCTATAAAATCCCTCAAAAAAGCGAATGAAATAAATTTTGGAATATATTTCTTAAGAGAATATATGTAGAGAGAACTAAACTACCAGTCTATCTGTAATAAATAGTTTTGTTTAAATGATATTTCACTTTACATAAGTGTAACTTAAATTTTTACCAGCATCTTCACCAGAAATTAAATTTGAAGTCCAGGTTTCTATGTCTGACTAGAATTCCTCCTAGTTCAGTTTACTGAAAGGGATGATGGGGAAAAAATGATATCTAAGATGAATTTACTTCCCCCAAGTGGTAGCTGTTTCATAATTACATTATAACTGTAATAATATATTACAGTGATACTGTATTTTCCTTTCTTTAGGAGTTTCCAGGTTTTTTCATAATGGATTCTGCTTAAGAAAAGATGCTGTTGCTGCCAGTATTCAGAAGATTGAGAGAATTCTGCAGTGGTTTGAAAGCCAGAAGCAGCTTAACTTTTATGCAAGTTCATTACTGTTTGTTTATGAAGGTTCATCTCATCCAACTACTACAAAATCAAATGACAGAACTTTGGCAGAAAAGTTTTTGTCCAAAGGACAACTCTCGGACACAGACATACTGGAGTATAATAATAACTTTCGAGTATTAAGTTCCGCAACAAATGGAAAAATAGAGGCTTCAGTAGGCAAAAGCTTGTCCAAGATGTATGCTCGTCACAGAAAAATGTATTCAAGAAAGCATCACAGTCAGACTTCATTGAAAGTTGAAAATATAGAGCAAGACAATGGGTGGAAAAGCTTGTCACAGGAACATTTAAATGGAAATGTACTTTCCCAACTGGAAAAAGTTTTCTACCATCTTCCCACTGGTTGCCAAGAGATTGCGGAAGTAGAAGTGCGAATGATAGATTTTGCTCATGTTTTCCCTAGCAACACAATAGATGAGGGATATGTTTATGGACTGAAGAATTTAATTACTGTACTTCAGAGTATTTTGGACAATTGAATCCTTTGCTGCAGTCTTTTTAAGGGGTGGGGCAATCATTGTGAAGAGCAGCAGTCAGTATCTCTGCACTTGTAATGCTATGTAAACAATTTGTATTGTGAGTCGGCATTTTATTTGTCTTTACACTTTTGGTAGAAGGGTTAACTTTTTTATAATCTTACTCAGGAAAACTAATTATTTGTTCATTAGAAAACTATGAAGAATAAAGAAACTTTGGAATGTTAAGCAGGGAATGTGGTGGTACATGATTTAAACATCTGTTTGGCTCAAGCAAAATGCAAAACATTCAGTCATTAAGAGTTTAGTTTTCTGTAGCCAATTTATCATGAAATCTCTGTCCACCCAGCTGTGACAATGAGCCATATCTAAACTCTTTACATTATGAGAATACTTTCAAAAATCTAGAAAGCACAGGTTGATGTCCTTAGTATTACTTTTTGAAGTTATTAAAACTGGAGAAAATTCTACTTCAGAAATAAGTACTGTTTAGGTTTTATATTAAAATTTAGACCAGCATATCTAAAGGTGCTTCTTAGTGAAATGATTTTGAATTATTTTATTCCAAAAGCAGATTTTCCCTTTAATTTTTATTTATTACTCATATTTCAACATGTTTATACTTCATGAAAAAGGTAATTGAAATAGACAACAACAACAAAAATCTTGAAATTAAGGGCACTAATAATTATTCTTGCCAGGGCAAGAAGAGACAAGTTACTTGGAAGAAACATGTTTTTCTTTTAAAACCTTTCATTTATGGGCAAATTGGAATATATATTTACTATATTGTGAAAAGTGTTATAAACTCTATGCCTTCTCCTCTAACTGCAGCTTCAAAAAGGTGGGTAATTGAAACTTGGTCTTATTTCTCCTTAAAATAACTTGAATTTTTAAAAATTTTATATATTTTTATGTGTCCATTTAGTTAAACAGTAGAGTAAATCTATGTTGCTAAAAATGATGTTTCTCAAAATTCTAATATGCAGTGAAGGACAACATCCAATATTATGTTATTAAACATACTGTGTAAATTAGTACATCATAGAGAGTGGTGCATATCTAAACCCATGCTTCTGTTTCATTGTTACTCAAAATAGTTTTATATTATGTTCAAGAGAGAAATTATGATTTAATTTTATAGATGGGGGATAATGCTATTTTTCCTGGATAAATTAGAGTCTGTATTATCTGTTTCATATTTACGTTTTTAAAAATAACCAGTTATTATTGAAAACTTTAAAATTAATTTGCAAATATGTTAGATGTTTATGCTCCCATTGCTTCCATTTTGATTCACTAATAACACATCTAAGTAGTTAATAGTTTTGCCACATTCTTTGGAAAATGTTTTAGAGCTGGGAATTGTTAGTGTGTCCCAACACCCCACCCCACCCCAATTTCTCCTAAGAATTATAAATTAAATTTTTAAATCCAATTTTTTTTTTTAGTATGGAGGAAAGTATCACAATTTTATGTTTATGTCACCTTCCCAAGCCCCTCTGAGGGCACTTTGCAAAATATCTGAGCACAAACCAAGTACCAAATGCTCTGTGAATTCTAAGTTTAATAAATCTATTAAACATGAATAACTTTGAAATTCATATGCATTTTGTTATAGCAAAATTTGATTGTTTTTAATTTTTTTATTTGTAAGTTTTATATAGGCACTTCATATTTTTCTCTGCTGCCTAAATGGGTATTAGCTTTTGGTTTTTTTTGTGGGGATGAATTTCAAGTAATAACTAATAGAAATGTTTTAGTTTTACTTGATTTTTCCTACAATATAGACTTTTTGTTGTTGTTGTTATTTGGATAGTGGCTCATTAAATCTTAAGTTCAGATAATTAGACACTATTTTGAATCTGAACAAAACAAGAAGTTTTTTTTTGTAGGGAATGGTATCAGCCTATGTAAAATGAATTTAATACATTTAAGTATTAATCAGATTTTTTTGCACATTTTATCTCAATAAAGTGTGTCAACTATTCCAGATTTTCTTTACCTATATTTGGAAATATAGTTTTGTAAAATCAGTGTCTTACCTTTTTTATAAAATAGATAATATTTTGTTTATTTTAATAAAACAAGAAGCCCTTTTATCTTTTGTTTTTCAGGGAAGGGATTAACATTTGTTTGTTTACATTTTTTTTATCACTGTTATCTAATGCTTGTTTTATGTTACTTTATAAGTAAGCTTACATATAACAGAATAAGTATCTGTTTATGTAATCTACAAGTGATTATTTTACTGTCTAGTCCAGTCATTTAGCATTATGCTGAAATTTACCACTGCGGGAATAGAATGATCACTATTCACCAAGCATATTTAAACATGTAAATGTTTAAGAAGTAATCATAATAAGGATATAGTTTGAATTAATAGATTTATCACTTTTTTTCCACTAGAAAACACAAACAGTGGTTTTAGTGTATTTCTTACGGAATGCACTAATAAAAAGAACTTTAAGAAGTTATGGGGAGTGAATATTACATTTCTCTAATAAAAATTGAAATTGTATAATAGTTTTATAAGAAAGTATTTACACTAATTGATATTTTAATATGGATGGAAGTTGCATAGGTTCAAATAAAAAATTGATAAATGCTAAATATTTTACCTAAATAGTTTTTCAAGAAACAGTTGTGAAAATGTGTATATTACATACCTCTAACATGGAGCTTGTGGTATTTTCAATTCAGTATTCATTATTCTTTATGTGTATGGAAAGATTGTACTTACTATGCCTTTTACACTACATTTTGCTATTGTGGGGCTTTAGACTATTCAACTGAGTAAGAATTTTTAAATTTTATTTTGACAGTATAATTTACTGTTTTATGATTTTCAAGATGATGTTCTTCATATCTCTATAATGTCTATCAAATTTAAAACATAACTGAAGAAAAAAATTAATTTTCAAATATTCAGTTGCATTTTTCTTGTTTCATGCAACTGAAAACATTTGTTTCTAGGATTTGGAATATAGAACACACGTAGGATGAAAGAAAATGGTAAAACAATGAAATAATTTTATGTATGAAATTATAGAAATTTTGTCAACTATTTTAAAGCATTATTTTAGTACCATTTTCTCATAGCAGTTCAACATTTGATACTTTAAAACTTGATTTGCTTTAAAAATTATTTACCATGCTTTGTAATAATCTTTCTGATCCAGTGCCTTTAACCTTGATTTGATATATGTGTAGCTTCAGTTGTCTTTCCATTACATTCTATGTTATCACAGCGTAGATATCAGTTTCTTTTAAAAAATTGTTAGTTTGGTTGTGCAAAGAGGTAAATTGCCTATTAATGCTTTGGGAAAACAAGTAGAGTTGCCCATGGAGGTCAGGCTTCTTATTAGTTCACTAGAGGCCCGGTGCACGGAATGCGTGCACTGGAGGGGGTGTGTCCCTCAGCCAGGCCTGCACCCTCTCGCAGTTCGGGACCCCTTGCTCCTTACTGCCTGCCTGCTCCCTGCTCCTTACTGCTCGGCTCAATGCTCCTTAGCGCTGTCACGGAGGTGGGAGAGGGTCCTGCTACCGTCACTGCGCTCGCCAGCCGTGAGCCCAGCCTCTGGCTAAGCGGTGCTCCCCCTGTGAGTGTGCACTGACCACCAGGGGGAAGCTCCTGCATTGAGCATCTGCCCCCTGGTGGTCAGTGCTCATCATAGCGACCGGTGGTTCTGGTCATTCCGCCACAACCGTCACTTTAGGCTTTATTACATAGATTCAAAAATACTGGATATTTACCGTATGCTAACCATTTTTAGCCCCTGAATATACAGTTGTGAACTAATCAGACAAAGCCCTGTTTCCAGCATTCTGTCTAGATGGCGTGGGGTTGGGGACTGAATTAAAATAGAGATACAGAGAAATATTTATTTCAAGATGATAAAGTTAACTAGCATTTGAGTTTGTGTAAAGATAAGGTAATAATTATTGAGTTGAGATGAAGCAACTAACAATGTTAGAGAGGATGAAAATAGTACTTTGCAGTATTGTAACCTCTATTTGGCTTTGAGTTCAGATAGTAATATATAGCATATAAAGGCCTTAATTTTTCAGTTTTCTTGCTTGTTGGTAAAGGTACGTTTACGTAGACTGTCCATTTAGAGTAGTGCTTTAACATTACTGTGAGAAATATCCCATTATATTTTCACAAGCAATTTACTGCACATTTTTTACATTGTATTTTATAATTTAGTACTAATGTTTTAGGCCTCAATCTTCAAATCACTGGTATTTTAAATTTGGCAATGAATGTGAAATTTACTGTTTGACTAACAGGATAATTTTATTGTTACTTAAAATGCTTGTTAATATTTTAGGAAGGTTGGAGTTTCCATTTTTGAGGAGTTAATGTTTAAATTATTTTTGATAGCATCTAGTAAGAGGAAATAGTATTCATGCGATTAAACAAATTAAAATATACTCTCAAGAATTTTTTTAATTGTTAAACTTTGTCATCATTGGGGCTAAATTTTAACCTGGTGTTCTCTTACAATATATATTAACAAGTTTAATTATGAAGTGAAATAGTCTTAAGGATGATGTATGATGCACCTAAATGTAAATGAAAATGGCGTGCACAAAGACACTTTATTCTGGGAGCTGTACTGGAAGATTTGTGAAAGCATGTGAAATTGCACCTAAACTTGTGTTGTTAGTGACTATGCTAAGTTTATTGTACTTGATGAATGAATGTATTTAGTCTAGTCAGAGTTACTTTTTGGTTTAAATGTCTCTTAATGTATTTGTAATTTGTACTATTGATGGGGGTATTCTTGGACTGCAGGGGTTATTGTCAATGTGTGATTTTATTTTATAGAATCATCTAATGTGATATACCAATTTTTATAAGTGATATTTAGATAATTCTAATAACTGTATATTTGACAACCTATTAAAATGTTTTGCATTGGAGCTTTTTTTCTTTAGTTATATACTAACAAACGTAGTTTAAAAATAACTTATTCATTCAAATATTCTCATATTAGGTATATATAAGAATCAGATTCAAAGATGATTAAGATGTTAATAGAAGCATTTGCATTGGAAATGAAAGAGAATGTTAACTTTTACATTAAATATTTGTTCATTTTTCTTTTTAAAAAGATTATTTTATGTTTTTATTTATTTTGGAAAGGAAGGGAGAGGGAGAGAGAGAAACATCAAATGATGAGAGAATCATTGAATAGCTGCCTCTTGCACACCTCCTGCGA